ACAGCTTCGTTCTGATTTCTAAAAACCTGAGCGCAATATCAATAAATGGCAATATGGATGTGAGGAATTACAATTGAACCAATCAGAGGACCTGCAAGTGAATTTCAAACCGTGTACGTGATATTTACTTGCGATTGTTTGCATTGTCATCGTGGGCGAACATAATTATGTTCTCGCTGTTTGCACTCAAGACATGATAGGCGTGATAAACGCTCGCATGAATGGAAGTGTAAATGAGAGCTGAATGAAGGACAACAGGAAGAGTGGGACATTTAGGCTAAATGATGCAAGGTATGTGACTAGGATCATGCATACTTGATGGAGAATCAGTTCTCCGAAAAGCATTTATAGGCATTATTCCTGTCCAATAATTTCCATAATACATACGCAAATGTGATCCCATTATTTAATTGCTTGAAAATAGGCCCGTCGAGTAATAAGGGAGATATTTGTCTGTTGCGGATCTGAAATACATTCGAACGTCTTCGCGTTGAAGTTAATACCTCCTTACACTGTTGGTAGCACAGACTATGGATTGCACGCCTACAAATATTCTCATGTCACCCCGGCTGCGAGTGGTTTCATCCACTCAGCTGCCTTGTCTGTTGTATCGAGTAAGCGAAAACGACTACTAGTGATAACCTCCTTCCGTTTTATGCATATATGCGGACTTTCACTTTAATTAGCCAGGGGCTGGTGACATCCACGCGGCCTATTCTCATTGTCGTCTGCTACAATATCCGCGGTCAACTCGGTCGCCACTGGCTTAGAAGCTCGGAAATTATTCTTCAGGTCGTCTGCCAGTCTTTATTGTTTGCACCCTATAGAAAGCTGCCCAGTATCTGTGGTGATTAGATACTTTATGGTTGTTTGTCCGATTTGCATTTCCTGGGCGGAAGAAACAGTCCAAACATTCTGAACTGGTTCAATGAAACCCTAAGTGAGTGTATCTGTCACCGAAGAATTACCTTGACTTCCGTTGTGACATGAAGGTATACAGGGTCTGTTTTATGTCGTTCCACGAAGGATGACGAAGACGGGGGCTAAGAACAGGAAGCAGGATTCCAGAAAACACTCTAGAATTCAGGTAACCCACCTGAACATGGTGGCCTCTCTGCATTGTGGGCGCTTCGAGGTGACCTGAATATATTTAG